TCGATGGACCGATTCGGTGATGATTTGTGTGAAGTAATCGTCGATTATCTGCCAATCGGTGATAAACTGAGATATGAATGCATTTCAAAGCAATTCAAACGATTGCTGTTTAATAGACATCGGGTTCTCGTCTTAAGCGAGACATCGCTGACGGGTTTCGACGATAATGTGGACACAATCAGCCAGGTGTTGACCACAAGTCGTGAATACAAACGTCTGTTTAATATTGAGATCCATTTGTTCCGCCAATTGGTGGCGAAGTTGCCGTGGATTCAAGTGCTGGTGATCGACAACTACTGCATAATCGACGGCAATGTCTTGAGAGCCATTGGCGACAATTGCCGGCATTTGCGGCGATTTGTCTGCACTTCAATCAAATGCATGGATATATCGGACGAAGACTTGAGATATTTTGGTCAACAGGTGTCCGCAACTCTACGGTCACTACAGTTTGATTGTCTGCAAGACTTTCAGTTGAATCTGATCTTAAGACTCACCAGAAATAGCATTAGATCCGTGAATATACAGAACAATAACTTCATTGTAAGCAATGATTTCGTTTTCCTTGACTTTCATCCGGCGAGTGATTCACGCGATGGCAACCATATCTCGCAATTGTGTCCAAAGTTGGACACCATTTACATCACCTGTTATAGTGTCGAAGACCTCAAACGCTTTGCAGATTATTATTCGCAAAATATCCGCAAAATTGAGATCAAATTCGTGTCTAACTATATGTTGGGAGATGTGATGAACGCCGGCCTCAAACAACTGTCCCGTTTCGTGAACCTCCAGTCCCTAACGCTTCTCATATATAACTACCAGAAAGGGTTTATCGCACCCATCGATGAGGGGCTCCGTATGATTGGCACCAATTGTCCAAAACTCGAGCACTTTGTCTGCGAAATGACTAAAAATCTGATTTCCGGTCAATTGTTTCAAGTGTTGTCCCCTTTCTGTGCGCTCAAGACATGCAAAATCAGTACCACTTATGAGATATACGACACGCGAGACCCGTACGGCACAGTCGCCCAGTTAGCCCATTGCAAGCATTTAAAGCATATCACACTTTACCTCAAATACTTAAGTGACAAACATTTGTCTCATATTCACCTCTCTTTACCGCATTTGCAGACATTTAAAGTGAATACAAGTAATGGTTTTATTGGCGACAAAACTCTTGAATCATTGGCTCAGTTGCCACGACTGACTACCGTTGAGATCAGTGGCACGAGTCCTGCGCTCATTAACATCACAGATGAAGGTGTCTGTCCACTGGTCATTAAATGTCCACTACTCAGACAATTGTGTCTTTTTTGTAAGACTTCTGTCGGCAAACAAAGTGTCGATCAGTTTATATCAATCGCTCGAAAATATCCCAAAAATATTTACAAGTATTTCTATGAATGTAATCACGACTTATGCTCTGAAATACCCATTAATTATGAACTGACTGGCCATCCGGTGCCGCAAAATCTTCAGATCTTCCAAATCTGAAGTAAATTTTGGTTTTATTTCATTAATTGTATATTAAAGCGATTAATGAATAATTTGTTGTTTAAATTAATTTACTATTTAAAATTACTATATATTTAGTTGATTGTTAATTTATAATTTATTTTAATTATAGTTTGAATAATAAAATTTAAAAACTATAATTTAAATATGTTTTTTTGTCATACAAAAACCCTTGTTAACTTAATTGTGATTATAGTTATTAAATATAATTTATTTTTATTTTTTAATTGTTAAATACTGTAATTACAACCAATAATCTGGTCAATACAAATATTAATAATTAGTGTAGTAATAAAAATAGTATGTGTTTTTAAATGTCAAACAATTGTGTCATTTAATCAAATTATTAAGCCTTGAATTAATTTTAAAAAAGTATTTCTAAAATTATTGGTCAAAATTATGTCTAATTTTGAAATATTTTGTGGATTTTTGTTTGCAATCATATTTATAGTAATAATTATAGGAAATCCAAAAAGTGGTAATAAAAAACAGGATTAAAAATAATTTTTAGAAATTAAAAATTGTTTTCGAAATTGTTTTCTCATTGACAATACCATATTTGTATCACAAAAATAAAAATCATAATTTAGTATAAATAAAAAACATTTTGAAGGCGAAAAAAGTTTTTTGTTTGAATCATAGTCTAAACAAAAGAACAGAAAATGTTATGAAATATATTTGTTTAGAAATATTTATATAAAAAAGTTATGTCAAAAATAACTGTAAGATTACTACTGTACGTGTAATGAGAGTCCAAAAAACACAACAATTTTCTCAGCAACATAATTATCTCAAATAAGTTGTAATAGCTTTTAGACAATACAATAGAAAGTTGGAGAGAGAGAGAGAGAGAGAGAGAGAGAGAGA